TCCTCTAACCCCACAAGAAGAAGACAGAACCACCATCAGTAGTCCAAGGCCTATTCTTCCTGCAAGGCCAGACATGCTGCCTCCCTCCAGCCATTTCACCAATCCTGACAAAACTGTTCCTTCCGCAACACTCACCACCTTTCTGCTGGGTTTGATAATTCACTGTAGTGGCCACACAGAACGCACAGATTATGGGGTTTATTAGGGAAGTACCAGGCTACAATTCAAGCTCAGGAAAAATGCTCAGTGTCTCTCAGCCCACCATCTCTCAGCCAGCAGTCTCTCTCAGCCACTCTCCCAGCAATGCACGTCTCTTGATGTCTCTCTCAGCAAATGCCTGTCTTGGTGTCTCTTTCTCAGCAGCACGTGTCTCTCAGGAGCATGTTTCTCTCAGCAGCATGTCTTTCTCAGCCAGCAGTCAGGGAGACTTCTGACTCTAGGAGGCGTACTTTTGAGCCTGGCAGAGTGGCCAAACTAGCCAACCATAACATCAGAATTCTAAGCACCTGAGAGACAGCAAACTACCCAGAACATTGCTTTGTGCCACTCTCAACAGAAATTCCCCAGGTGGATAACTTTTACAGTCAGGAGCTCCTCCGTTGCTCACAGCAAATTCCACCATGGAGTTTACAAAGATTATGGCTAGAAAAGCCATACCAGTAATTTATTACACCACACTAGGTTTCTCTCCTTTCCATGTAAAATTAGTGATTGGTTTCTCCATATCCTTAAAGAATGTTCATGGGATCTGTATTGGGATTGCATTGAATGTATAGATTGTTTTGGGTAGTATTGACATTTTCACAATGTCTAATCTTCCTATCCACAAGCATGGTATGTTCTTCCATTTATGTAACCTTGGCTTTTGCCATAGCCTTTTCTACTTTCTTTATACAAGTCTTTTGTATCCCTAGTGAGATTTATTCCTAAGTATTTTATTTATTTATTTAGGTAGCTTCTGCAAATGATGTTGATTTCCTTATTTCCTTTTCAGTAATCTCTTTGCTGGTGTAGAGGAATCCAACTGATCTTTGTATATTGATCTTGTATTTGGCCACTATGCTAAATCTCCCAATTAGTTCCAGTAGATTTTTGACTGAGTCTCTTTGGTTTTCTATGTATAGGATCATATTATCAGCAAGTAGGGATGATTTTACTTCTTCCTTACCAATCTGGATGTCTTTGATTTCCCTTTCTAGCCTTATTGCCCTGGCTAGAACTTCCAATACAATGTTTAATAGAAGTGATGATAGAAAGCACCCTTGTCTGGTTCCTATTTGCAAGGGGAATGGTTTCAGTCTCTCACCATTGAGAATAATGTTGGCTGTTAGTTTTGTGTATATACTCTTTATTGTGTTGAGTAATTTCCTTTCTACTCCTATTTTGCTGAGAGATTTTTTTTGTAAGGAATGAGTGTTGGATTTTATGCCTTTTTTGCATTGATTGATATGATCATATAGTTCTTTTCTTTGTTTTGTTTATGTGATGGATGATGTTGGTTATTTTTCTAATGTTGAACCATCCCTGCATACCTTGTATGAACCACACTTGCTAATAATGTATCATTTTTCTGATATGTTGTTGGAGTCTTTCGACTGGGATATTGTAAATTTTTGCATCTATCTCCATGAGAGATCTCCGTGATCTGTAGATTTCCTTTTTAGTGATGTCTGCCTGGTTTTTGTATCAAGATTATGCTTGCTTCATACAAAGAATTTGGGAGAATTCCATCCTTTTCTGTGTTCTGGAATACTTTGAGTAAGATTGATGTCAGTTCTTCTCTGAATGTTTGGTGGAATTCTCCAGTGAAACCATCTGGGTGAGGGCCTTTTTTTGTTGGTAATTTTTTATGACTTGTTCAAGTTCTTCTTTTGTTACGGATCTGTTCAACTTTTCCACCTTAGTCTGTGTTAGTTTAGGTAAGAAGTATGTTTCTAGAAATCTGTCCATTCTAGCATTTTAGCATTTTGCTGCTAACCAAAAGGTTGTTGGTTTGAACCCACCAGCCACTCCACAGAAGAAAGATAGGACAGTCTGCTTCCAAAAAATTCAGAGCCTTGGAAACCTTACATGCGTTGCTATGAGCTTGTGTTTTCTTTTTTTTTTTTTTTCTAGATTTCTGACCCCATTTTGCCAGTTACTTGAAATGTATAGGCTTCTAAATGTGTTGAAATGTGTTTATAGTCAGGAGAGTGGTTTTATGTGTGTACATGCATACAGACACACACATACATATTTATTACGTGTGTTTACAAAGTAGGTTTATTATGTGTGTCATTCCCACTCTGCCTTCCATTGTATTCTGGTCAGAAAGATTGAAAAAGCTGGGAAGTGCTTTTTTGATATATGTTAAAAATTCTGACAAGTACTCAATAGGAGTTACTGCAGTAGAAATAGTACAGTCTTCCTTCCCTTTTGGTCTTCATGTCATCTATATTCCACATATTTTGTGTCCTGCTTGTGATTCCAAACTAAAACCAAACTCACTTCCATGGAGTCAGATCCGACTCATAGTGACCCCTCCTTGGCTTTCCAAGGCAGTATCACTATGGAAGTAGATTGCCCAACCTTCCTTCTGAGGAGTAGCTGGTGGGTTTGAACCTCCAGATTTCTTGTTATCAGTCAAGTGCCTTAGGCACTACGCCACCATTAAGAGCCTGAAATTTATCAAATAGTACCTATTTAGTGTATGTATAAGGAGCCCTAGTGGTACAGTGGTTAAGTGCCTAGCTGCTAACTAAAAGGTTGGCATTTATTGCCTTAAAAAACAAATAAACAAACAAACTCACTGCTGTCAAGTCGATTTGACTCATAGCGACCCCACCTTGGGTTTCCGAGGTAGTATCTCTACAAAAGTAGATTGCCCAATTTTCCTTCTGAGGAGTGACTAGTGACTTTGAACTGCCATCTTTCTGGTTAGCAGTCAAATGCCTTAGGCACTATACCACCAGAGTGTAGCTCATTTTATGCACCTGTGTGTACAGATGGACATTTAACTTACTTTGTCTATAAGTTTAGTTACATTTCTAAATCAGTTTATCTCTCTATACTTGTTCATCTATCTGTCTATGTACCATCTATCTTTACTCTCTAGAATTTCTTTATTCTTTTTTGTTTGTTTGTTCCATCTCTTCTGACTTTCTTCATATGTCTCCTACTCTGTCCTCTTTCTACACCCTCCAGTTAGCTGCTATGCTCCTCTTTTCTTATGTGTGGTGTGAACCTCTTTGTACAGTCCGTTTAACACCAGTCAACCTCCTTCCTCTGCTCATCCTACTCCACTGCAGTTTTGTGTAATGATGACATGTTAATCTCAAGCTCCTCTGTGTTAACTAGCATGTAGATCCTTTATGCCACCAAATACCTGAGAGATTAAAACAGAGATTTGTCACTACTTCATGAGAACACTTGTAATGCATTCTTTTTGTTAGTTTCTTGGACACTGAAGTTAAGTGACCATCCTCACACATTCATGTTGCAGAACACTGTCACTATACTGAGAACTTTCTGAATGTATTGCACCCATTGATCCTACTACTGTATTCACAACAAAGACAGCAGTTCTTTTCTTTTATTGTTGTCCCCAGTCTATTAGCACTCCTACTTTCTCCTTTTATTAGTTTCTCTTTGTTTTTGCTTCCCTTTCTTTACAGCTTATCTGTGTCCCTTAGTTTTTCACACACACTGTAATCATTATCCTAAACTCTTTTCTCTCAATGCCCTTTTATTGTCTCTGATTTGAAAAACTTTTCATCCAACATACATCATTCCTCAGCCTATAACTCAAATGCTTCTGATTCTTGCTAGAGAAAAATCAAACAAGTGGACAGAGTAGCTCCATAGTGAATTTGTTTGTGGTAACCTCAATTGTCCTCTCAAATAGATCTATTCTCCTGCTTTTAAAAAAAAAAAAAAAAAAAATTAATCAACACTCTTCTATGATTCACAACAAGGACTTTAGCCTTGCTTCACTTGACTTTTTTGCTTTAGATAGAAAATACATGTTATAAATTGTATTTTACATGTTTCTAACTACCTAACATGGAATCTATAATTGCACCTATGTTTACATTCTTTACCTCTTTCTTCTGGTCAAAATGGAGATGTTCTGCTGCTCAACCTCCTGGGCTCTCCTGCCTCCCAGGAATGATTTCTCTCCTCTTCCTTCAAATTCTCCCTCTTTAGAGTTTCCACTTAAAAGCTTTAAATTTGCTCAAGTTCTTACTAGTCTTAAAACAACAACAATAACAATAAACATAATTCATGTTTTTGTCATTTTGTAGAACCTCCTCAGATTCGCAGGCAATATTCTTGAAAGAATTGCTCAAGATGCCTGAATTTATCTACTATTCATTTTTTAGCCACTTCAACTTTGTGTCTTCTCTAAACACTATAACAGAACTATATTTAACAAGCCACCAACATAATTCACGTTATTGGATATAATTAACTCTTTTTATTTCTTGAACTACAACCAGTACTTTTCAGTACTGAGGGAATCTGTGCTCCAGAATTTTTTGTGTCCGAAATGGGAAATTATTTAACCAGAGCAACACAAAGTTAATGTGCAGATTGTTCCTAGAACTAAATTTAGGAGAGGAATTTTTTATAATCCAGATAGTTCAGGATATTAGAAATACTTTTATACCAAAGTCAAAAGTCAGAGACACTAGATGCCAAATTTAAGAGGATTTTTTTTTGCGTGTGTAGATGAATAATAATATGGTCATATGATATTTTAGTTTATCATTTGTGCATCTTTACCAGTATTCCCATAACTTTTCTTTCATCACAGCAGTTTTCTGAGAACATGATTGATTGTAGTACTACTACCTTCAATTTAAAGACAATGTTAACCAGAAGAGAAAAGCATACTGGTGAAAATAGCTTTTAAAGAGTAAAATATTTGATAGAAGATAGTGTATATTTGTTATATTTGTTGCATGTTTAACTATTGAACTCTATTTGCATAATTACAATTGTTACCATCTTTTCAAAAGATATTTGCCAAGAACCGAAGGTCATCAGTACTTGCCGGGATAAGCTGCCAGTATTCCCATCAAAATATACATATTTCTTCACCTTTGGCCAGACTGTGCAGGGAATAGCAGGATTGCCTCTTTATATCCTTGGAGAAATCTTTGTGGATGACAGCGTTGACAGACACTCACTTGGTACCTATCTAGGCAAGTTTTTTTCTTTCCTCTAATATGATTGACTCATTTTAAATTTTTATTGCATTTTTTATTGTGGTGTAAATATTCTAAACTGATATAGAAGTGCCAACCAGTGGCTCACTTAATAGCTTAAAAATCACACTGAGCCCCTAATTCTGAGAAGCTGCTTGAATTTTGAAATGTCAAAAATAGAGATATGAAAATCACTGAAAAAACACAGAGCAAGAGAAAAAAAAAAAAAAAAACACGTACTTTTTTAAGTATTAAAAACTATCTTCATCCTCCATTACACACAGTCATACAAATCCCACCACTCATATGTCAGTTTGTCATACTTTGTTGGCTTATGTGTTGCTATGATGCTGGAAGCTATTCCACTGGTATTACAGTACCAGCAGTATCAATCACGGTGGGCAAGTTTCAGTGGAGCTTTCAGACTGAAACTGTCTAGGAGGAACTATTTGGCCATCTACACGTCTACTGCCACTGAGTCGATTCCAACTTATAGTGACCCCCACTGGATTTTTGAGTTGGTAAATCTTTATGGAAGTACATTGCCCATCTTCCATGGAGTGGCTGGTGGATTTGAACTGCTGCCCTTGTACTGCATGACCAGAACTCCTTGGCCATCTACAAGTAGTCCTCAATTTACAATGTATTCAAGTTATGGAGAACCACACTTACAATCCATTTTTCTTTTTCTTATTTTGGGCATCTTATTGCTAGTAGTATGTACTACACACAGTGTACATATTGTATGTAATTTGTTGTTATTCTCAGATGTTCATTTGCAAATGTCCAATTTTATGATTTATTGTTCAAAACACTGCCATATAGATTCAGTTTTCTAAATTAAAACAGGAATTTCAGTTGCTTGAAAGCTTGGACCTAAATACTGATTGCTTTTCTAAAAAGTCAATAGGCATATTTGGGAAGCAGTTAGATGTTACCATGAAATATGTGAAGCAAAAAAGAGAAGAACCATGGATCCAGCTCTCCTTAATGTTCTGAATAGAAACACCATCCCCATTCCCAGGAATAATCCAGATAATTCAGAAACTTCCAGAAGTGGAGTTATTACTGCAGCTGATAAAATACCAAGATCATTCAACTCTTCTTCAATAGAGTAAATTTTTATGATTTCTGTATTTTTTAATATGTATTAAATTCTATAATATAATTTTAGTACACATAAATATAACTGTAAGTTTATATGTAATGTTCCCAACTTCCAAAGAGAAAAGATTGGATTTATAAATATATTGATAATAAAAGGCAACATTAATGAAAATTTTAAAAATAAAATGAGCTATTCAAGTTTCATCAGAATCGATATGACAGAGTTGTTGGAATGGAATCCTATCAAAAGTTGAGTACTACCTGAATTTCTTGGGGGGGAAAATAGTGCAAATCCTACAGTTAGCACAGAACATTGTTTGATACAGTGCTGAAAGATGAGCACCCCTGGTTGGAGGGCACTTGAAATATAACTGGGGAAGAGCTGCCTCTCCATAGTAGAGTTACACGGATGGAGTAAAGTTTTAGAACCTTAGTTTACTGATGTGGCGTAACTCAAAATGATTAAATAAATAAATAAAAGGCCACAAACTTCTGTTAGTAATCAGAATGTGTAATGTATGAAATATGAAGAAATATGAATCAAGGAAAATTAAAAGTTGTCAAAAATGGAATGCATAAAGATCTATGTCCTAGACTTTAGTGAACTGAAATGGAAAAGTATTAACCATTTTTAATCAGACAATCATATGGTCTCCTATGCTAGGAATGGTAAATTGGAGAAGAGTAGTGTTGCATTCATTATCAGAAAGAACATTTCATGATATATTCTGAAGTACAACACTGTCAGTGATAAATTAATATCCATATGGCTACAAGGAAGACAAGCTATTATGACTATTATTCAAATTGATGCACTCTCTCCACCAATGCCAAAGATAAAGAAATTGAACACCAATAGTATTGAATGAAGAAGTCCAAACTGCACTTAAGAAATTAGTGGAAAACACAGTTCCAGGATTTGATAGAATGCCTATTGAAATGTTTCAACAAATGGATGCAGTGCTAGAAGGGTTCCCTTGTTTATGCCAAGAAATTTGGAAGACAACTCCTGGCCAGGAGATTGGAAGAGATGCAATATTTGTTCCCATCCCAAAGAAAGTTGATGAAATGGAATGTGGACATTAACAAACAAGTGTTACATTTTGGGGATTTCAATTAATGTCACCAAACAAAAGGTATATGAACTATTGAATAGAAAACAGATTTGTTCTGTAAACTTTCATCCAAATCACAACAAAAAGTTTTAAAAAAATCATTACTATCACTCTCGGTAAAATTTTGCTCAAAATAAGTTAAAAATAGTTACAGCAGTACATAAACAGGGAACTGCTAGAAATTCAAGCTGTATTTAGAAGATGTGGAATGTGGTATATTATCGCTGATGTCAGATAGACCTTGGCAGAAAGCAGAGAATACCAGAAAGCTGTTTGTTATGTTGTTAGGTGTCCTCAAGTCAGTTTTGACTCATAGTGACCCTATGTATCTGCAAAAACGGCAAGGAGGCCACATGTTCTGACCTCCTCTAATCCCACAAGAGGAAGACAGGATTACCAGCAGTAACCCAAGGCCTATTCCTGCCAGGCCAGACATGCTGCCTCCCTCCAGCCCTTTCTCCAACCGTTCTTCCCAAAGCACCCACCACTGCTCTCCTTGGTGCGATAATTCACTGCAGTGGCCACACAGAGCTCACCGATTATGGGGTTTATTAGGGAAGCACCACAAGCTACAATTCAAATTCAGGAAAAAATGCTCAGTCTCTCTCCCAGGCCACCGTCCCTCAGCCAACAGTCTCTCACAATCTCTTTCCCAGCAGTGCTGGTCCCTCAGTGTCTCACTCAGCGATGCGTGTCTCTTGCACCTCTTTCCCAGCAGCATGTGTCTCTTTCCAGGGTGTGTGTCTCTTGCAGCAGCATGTCTTCCTCAACCAGCAGTCAGAGTGCAAGTTCTGCCTCTAGGAGGTCTCCTTTTGAGCCCGGCAGGGTGGTCAAACTAGCCAATCATAGCATCAGAACTCTAAGCACCTGAGAGAGAGTGGGCACCTCCCAGAACATTGTTTTGTGCCACTCCCAACAGAAATACTCCAGGTGGACAACTTCAGCAATCAGGAGCTCCTCAGTTGCTCATAGAAAATCCCACCTTGGAGTTTACAAAGACTTATGGGTAGAAAAGCCATGCTAAGTAATTTACTACACCACAGTATCACAGAGGAAAAACACTTCCCAATTCTGTGCATACTTCACACAATGTCAGTTCATATTGTTGAAGTTCATCCCCTTTTTGGCTGATCATCTAGTTTATCTAGTATGATATCCCTCTGCAGGGTTTCATCCTTTCTGAAAATGTCCAAAGTATGAGAGATGAAGTCTGACTACTCTTGCTTCTAAGGAACGTTCTGGCTATCCTTTCTCCAACACATATTTGTTCATTTTTTCTAGCAGTCCATGGTGCATTCAACATTCCTCACCAATATCCTAATTCACTGCATCAATTCTTTTGGATTCTTCTTCATTAATTCTCCATCTCTCATATGTATATGAGGCTACTGAAAGTAATATTACTTGGGTCAGGAGTGTCTTAATCTCCAAAGTGACTTGCTTTCTCTCAAACACTTTATAAAGGCCTTTTGCAGCACATTTGCCTAATGCTTGATTTCTTTACTGCTTCCATGAGTGTTGATTTGGATTTAAGTAAAATGAAATCTTTGACAACTTCAATTTTTTCTCTGCTTATTATGATGTTGCTTACTGGGCCAATTGTAAGGCATTTTGTTTTCTTTAGATTAAAGTATAGTCTATACTGATTTTCAGCAGTAAGTGCTTCAAGTCATCCTCACTTTCAGCTGGCAAAGTTGTGTCATCTGCACATGTCAGGTTGTTAATGAGACTCCCTCAAATCCTAATACCCATTCTTCATTTCATTACAATACTTTACTTTGTCCTCTCAAGCTGCCTTTTGAAACCTTCTTTCAGCTCCTTTATCCATTTCTTCCATTTGCTTTAGCTATTCTCCATTCAAAAACAAGTTTCAAAGTCTCCTGTATCCATTTTAGTCTTCTGTTTATTTCCTGTGACTTTTTACTTTCTTCATGTATCATGTCCTTGATGTCAGTTACTGGTGTTCAATGCATCAAATCTGTTCTTCAGATGGTCTACAAATTATATTTAAGGCATAATTTGGTTTTTGTGGACTAGTTTTAAATATCTTCAACTTCAACTTGCCTGTGAGCAATTGATGGTCTGTTTCACAGTCTGCCACTGGCCTTGTTCTGACTGATGATATTGAGCTTCCCCATAATTTCTTTCCACAGATGTAGTCAATCTGATTCCAGTGTATGGCATCTGGCAAGGTCCACACATATAATCACCATATTTGTTGTTGAAAACTGGTATTTTCAGTGAATAAGTCATTGGTAATGCATGGCAATGTGATCTCTGTCATTATTTTTATCACCAAGGCCATTTTTGCCAACTACTGGTGATTCTTCTTTGTTTCCAGCATTCACAGTCCAATCATCAGTATTTATCAATACATCTTTATTGCATGTTTGGTCAATTTCAGATTGTAGAAATTCGTAAAAATCTTCAATTTTTTCTATTTGATTTAGTGGTTCATGTGCATATTTGAATAATAGTAGTATTAACTGGTCTTCCCTGTAGCGATATGGATAGTCTTCTATCACTGACAGCACTGTACTTCAAGATAGATTCTGAAATGTTCTTTTTGATGATCAGTGTGATGCCATTCCTCTTTAATTGATCATTCCTGGTATAGCAGACCATGTTGTTGTTGTTGTTATGTGCCATTGAGTCAGATCTGACTCATAGCGTCCCCTCCTTGGATTTCTGAGGCAGTATCACTATGGAAATAGATTGCCCCATCTTCCTTCCGAATAGTAAACCATATGATTGTCCTATTCAAAATGGCTAGTA